CTCCTCCTCCTCCTCCTCCTCGTCCTCCTCCTCCTCCTCCTCCTCCTCCTCCTGGTACCCTCTTTCACCGTTGGTTTAATTGCTGCGGTTTCGGTGCTTGGCGCCGCGAGAACCTGGATCCGTTGGTGGCTACGGCTGCTCAGCGAAGTGGCCATCTCTCGACCTCAGCTGGCGATCTCTGTAGTATGTATGTATGTATGTATGTATGTATGTATGTATGTATGTATGTATGTATGTATGTATGTATGTATGTATGTATGTATGTATGTATGTATGTATGTATGTATGTATGTATGTATGTATGTATGTATGTATGTATGTATGTATGTATGTATGTATGTATGTATGTATGTATGTATGTGTGTGTGTGTGTGTGTGTGTGTGTGTATGCTCCCGAACCCCACGTCAGGGGCCAAATGCCCTCCCAGGGACCCCTCGGACCCGTGCTCTCGGCACTTCCAGTGGCCCCAGGACGAGCCCGTGCTCGTCCCCGAGGTAGCCCGCATCTTCACGGACGGCTCTGGGCTTGACGAAAGCATCCCAGGGTTTTGAGCAGCGGACTTTGGCCGCCCACTCTGGCGTTGCTTTACGTGTGGAAGCATGTGAACAGCAGGCCCGTCACGGTGAGTCGGAGTTTGGGGGGTGAGATCGACAAGTGTCCCGCGGTGTCCCGTGGTGTCCCGTGGTGTCCTGTGGTGTCCCGTTGAGTGAGATCGATAGTGAGATCGATCGCGTCAGATGTTGGTCCTCCCCCTCTCCCCCCCCCCCACAACCTCCTTGTCACCCGAAGGGGTGCCGATTAGGTATCCTGCCAGTGTTGTGGTCTCGAGGCGTGCGGTTCTTGGCCAGAGGACCATCTGCGTGTCGACCGTGCCGGCGCCGCATACAGACTGCCTTCGGCCTCCCCCCCCACCGGAGGGTGCGAGAGCACCAGGGTCGGCGAGGGCCCACCCGTGCGCCCACCGTCCCGGGGGCGCGGAGGTGTTCAAGATCCCTGCCCTCGGGAGCGGCAAAGAGGGGGGGGGGCTGACCAGGGGGGGGTGGATCTCATGGCGGGGGCAATGCCATCTCCCGAGATTTCATGGCGCCTCGTCTCATTTCAGTACGTCCCTGCCCACACCTCTCGGGGGCGGCAGAGAGGGGGGGGATGACTAAAGGGGGTGGATATCATGGCGGGGGCCATGCTAGCTCCCGAGGTTTCATGGCGCCTCTTCTTATGTCAATACGTTCCCTGGCCAACCCCCCCTGGGCCGCGCACATGCCGCCGGCCATGATTTGCGCCCCCTCCTCTTGGACGCCCCCCTCTTGGCCGCCCCCGATGCCCACGCCTCGGCGGAGGATGTCATGAAGGCCCAAACGTAGATGTGTGAAAATATAAGGCTCCCTGGGGTGATTGGGGTGATTTTCGTTTCTGGGGAGTGAAATTATGCGGGCATTGGAAGAAATCTCGGGCGTTCTTCGGGTTGTTTTGGGCGGGATCACCATTCTGGAGGCCCACGTGGTGAATCCCTGTAGTGCCAGAAACATTTGGGAATCCGGGGGTCTGGGCCCATGAGAATAGCATATTTTTTTACCGCTCAGCATTGCCCAGGTAGGACGGGGATAAAGGTCGTTCCAGAGTGTTCCGGGACGCTCTCAGAGCGCTCCGAGGCGCTCTGAGAAGGCCGCGGCGTCCGATCTCAGATAGTGCCGATGCATCCCTGTCCGATCTTGTCCCTATCTTGGCCTCGTCTTACTTGCATGGGCCTCGGGGCACTCCACTTCGTGCAGGAGGCACGGCGGCCGATCTGAGTGGGTGGCTGCGCGTTGGGCAGCTTGTTCTCGCGGCCGCATCGGGGCAGGGGCAGGGCATTCTTGAACCATCTTGGAACCTCATGGGAACAAGGGCGCCCTCGAGGGCGTGAAATTATTCGAGCTTCGCGGTTCGGCTCCGATTCCTCATCCTCCTCTTCTCCCCTGGGAGGCGGCGCGAGAGCGCGAAGTTATTCGCGCTGCGCGCTTCGCGCAGCGCGAAGCGCGAAGTTGGGAGCCCTTGCATCTTGGAACCTCATGGGTGCATCGTGAGGCCTCTTACAGTCAACCCGCATAGGAAGGATGGGCAACCTTCCCCAGGGTACCCTTTGCATCCTTGCCTCCTCGGTCCATCCTTCGCCGCTTTCGCTGGCCGCGCCCCGCTCGAGAAGCTTCGAAATGGGCGTCCAAGGCCCTTACATCCGTATCGCGCATCCTTACAGTGCCGTTTTTAATACATGCTCCGCGTGCGGATCATGTATTAAACATGCAGGGATTTAGTATTTAAAACAACGATGAGTTCATGCATACATTTATTCATACATGAATCATGTACTAAATTTCCTATACTTTAAAAATCCAATGTATTAAAAACTGCCCTGTACTATACTGGTTGACTGTACGCTGCATCTTCGATCAGGAGGAAAGAGGAGGAGGAGGAGGAGGAGGAGGAGGAGGAGGAGGAGGAGGAGAGGAGGAGGAGGAGGAGGAGGAGGAGGAGGAGGAGGAGGAGGAGGAGGGAGGCGGAGGAGGAGGAGGAGGAGGAGGAGGGGAGGAGGAGGAGGAGGAGGAGGAGGTGGAGGAGGGAGGAGGAGGGGAGGAGGAGGAGGAGGAGGAGGAGGAGAGGAGGAGGAGGAGGAGGAGGAGGAGGAGGAGGAGGAGGAGGAGCAGAGGGTCCTCAGGGTCCTGATGATGCGGGTCGTCCTTTGGCCCCTGGCACGCTGGCCACGACAAAGGGGCTCAGGCCATGCTGGCTTCTTCCTCCTCGTCCTCGTCCTCCTCCTCCTCTTTCCTCCTGATCCTCCTGATCCTCCTCCTCCTCCTCCTCCTCCTGCTCCTCCTCCTCACCCGCTGTGTCAACTCCCTCACGCCGGCGTTTTTAACTCCCACTCCATGGGAGCCTTAAGACGGGGGTCAATGCAAACAGGGGTCAGCCAGGGCGCCAGATCTTGCAGAATCCTGCAAAGCCAGGGGTGCATTTGACCTGCGCTGGCGCGCAGGATCTTGCTGGACCCACCAGGATCCTGCGCAACCTGACTGACCCGGGTTTAAATTGACCCAGGTCAGTGCGCTCCGGGAACTAACGCCGTGCAATTGGGCGACTCGAGAAGCGTCAAAGCAGGGCAGGTTCACCACGCCGAAGTTTCGCTCTGCAACCACGTCGGCCGAAGCGGATGGTCCTACAGCCACGCTGTTTGGTTCCCCCCCGCGCTCAAGCAAAGGACCCCAGTTAGCTTTGATGGCAATCGACGGCCCGACGGCAGGGTCGATGGTGGTCTTTCCAAAAGTGTGGCCTGGCAACGGGCCGCGGAGTAGCTTCGAACGTTGTGTCTTGAGATCTTGGTTGTCTGGGTTTTGACAGTCGGTCAAGAGGCCCCGTGCAGTCTTCTGCACAGATGCCCCGCATAACTTGCAGAGGAGTAGATCGGAGAGCATCTCTCCCGACTCAGCCTGCACAGAAGCCTGGACCACGGACTGTCCACGGAGTTTCCACGGCACACAGGCTGAAGCAAGGAAGCTTTGAGAGCTGGAGGGGGGGAGGCACAAGAGAGGAGCGAGGAGAGGGAGAGACCAGAGAGGGGGAGGACACGACAGTGGTGGGCTCGGGCGGGTGGTGATGGGGAGACAGTGCCGTTTTTAATACATGCTCCGCGTGCGGATCATGTATAAAGCATGCAGGGATTTAGTACTAAAAACAACGATGAGTTCATGCATAACTTTAGTCTTACATTAATCATGTATTAAGATTCCTACATTTTTGAGACCCACTGTGTTAAAAGCTGCCCCGGAGGGACCTGAAGGTGGGGTGCAGAAGAGGGCCCTCCAGGGGCTTCGTGGAGGGCTACTTCTTTGGGAACCGGCAGGGGAAGGGCCCCCGAGAAGGCCCCCACTCGGGGCTCCTGCCCCCGCCCCGCATCTTAGGCCCCCCCCCCTTACCCGGGTGCTGCTAGAGGGACCCCTGGCCCAAGGTGCCCCCAGGCTTTTCGAGGAGGGCCCCACTCGGGGCTCTTGTCGTCGCCCCTCCTTTCGGCCCCCCCCCCCTTACCCGGGTGTTGCCAGAAATGCCTCTGGCCCAAGGCGCCCCCCAGGATTTCCAGGGAGGCCCCCACGGGCTCCCGAGAGCCTCCTCTCCCGAGGCCCAGAGGGCCCCGAGGGTGCTCCAGAGTTGGGTGACAAGCTGGGGGCGCCCTGGGCCCCGGGCGCCTCGAGCCACCAGCAACACCATCCACAACCCCGGGGATGACCAGGGGATTCTGACATATATTCTGACAGGTAGCTTTGCGTATGTCTTCTTTTTTTCCTGGCAGCGAGTAAGCCCGGACAGAGTGATGTCTTGAAGTACCCCAGGTGCAACACCATCCACAATTCCTCGAGCCAGCCCCGAGCTAGACCACCCGCCCGAGGGGCACGGCAGGGCCTCCCTTCCCCCCTCCCGGTCTGCTTGGGCCCCTGCCCGGACGCGCAGGGGCCCGCAGTCCCGCTGCGCGTCGCCCGGCGGGCCGCAGCGGAGCCCCTCCATAGGCGGCCCGCCGCCCGGCGGCCCCAGGCAGGAGGGAGGCACGGAGGGGTGTCAGGGGCGAGGGAGGCAAGGAGGGGGGGGCACACTGGGCGGGGAGGAGGAGGAAGAGCGCTCCAGCCCAGGTGCGCAAGCTTGCCTGGCGTCAGAAAGCGGGAAGGCGGGGGGAGGCTGAGGATTTGTAGAAGCTGCACGAGGAGGAGTAGGAGGCGAAGGCGAAGGAGAAGGAGGAGGAGGAGTAGGAGGAGGAGGAGGAGGCGGCGGAGGCGAAGGAGAAGGAGGAGGCGGAGGACGAGGAGGAGAAGGAGGAGAGTAGGCGAGAATCGTAATCACAGCAAAACCAAGATTTGCCAGCGATGCTGCAATAGTGTTGCAGCATCGCTGGCGCACGCATCACGCCAGGTCGTTTCGGCTCGGTTCGGTTCGGTTCGGCCAGCTTGAATCGTTCCCAGAGCCATCTTGAATACACTCCCGTTCCTCGGGGGAGGAAAAGCCACCCGGACCCGACAGGTGACGTTTACTAAACGGCCCTGGGCGTGTACTGAACAGCCCCGCCCTGTTCGATTCCTGCCTTGGGTGCGTTTACTAACGGCTTCGCCCGTCGGGGTGATCACTGTGGACCGGGCTGGACGAACGGGGGGATAGGGAAAGGGGGGGCTACGAAATCTGCTGCGTGCAGCTGGTTTCGGCCCTGCCGCCAGGCCCACGCGCGGAAGGTGGGGAGGAAGGTGGAGGGCGAGGGGCCCCTTTGAGCTGCCCCTTGGAGCTGGCTGGCAGGCTGAGGTGGCCCTGGTTTTCGGCGTCACGGGAGCGTCTTTTTGGCGTTTTCGACCCTCGGGGTCGTTTTCGGGCCTTCTGACTGCCAGACTCCCTGCGGCGAGAAACTGCGTCGGATGGACTCCGGGGGGATTTGGGAACGCATTTATCCGCCCCTCTGTGCCGATTTCGGTGGTCCCAGGCAGTAGATCCCCTTGCCGCCTCCAAGCCTCGCCCACACTCTACGGCCTCTTTCAAAGGCCTCGAGGCTTCTAAGGTGCAGCCTTACTTCCAAGACGGCGCCCCCCGCGAGGGCGTCTTGGAAGGCCCCGAGGGCTTCTAAGGAGGAGCCCTCCTTCCAAGAAGACGCCCCCGTTCCCCGTCCCCCCCGAGAGCGTCTGGGAATGCCCCGAGGGTTTCTAAGGAGCAGCCCTCCTTCTAAGAGTGTATCCCCCTGTCTCTGGGAACCTATTCTGCGTTGAGCGAGAAGCTGCCACCACTATTTTCGTCCTCCTGTAGGCCTTGGCAGCCACGCTGGGTCAAGCCATCTTTGGCTCGGCGGAGCGCTGAGCTCCTCAACCGCTCCGCACTCGCGCGCTACTGAAGTGGTGATGGACCCCGTTCCGATCAATGGACCCCTTGGCCCAGGCGACGTGCACCGTTACACCCAGCATCTGCGCGAAAGTGACAGCTTGATCCGCATGGTGAAGGATTCTTTCGAGATCTCTGAGGACTGCCTACATGGTGTGTCGCAGGCGGACTTGTCGACAATGGTCCAATTCCACCGCGCTCGTGGTAATGACCGCTTGGCCAACATGTTCGAGAATGTCGCGCTCGTCGGCGAGGGGCGGAGCACCTTCATCACCAACATGCCGGATAACAATGAACTCATCAATGTGATTCTCTTATACGCTCGCCGCGGGAATGGCCTGTACGACATCATCGTCGCCGAGGGGAAACAGAAGAAGGAGTTGGATTGGACAAAGGTCGGAGTTGCCTCCATGGGTTCTGCGTGCTTGGGAATTGTCGGCGGCTGTATTGCAGCGGCTCTCTCCGTCGGCCCTCAAACGCCATTTGTGGTGGGAGGCATGATTACTTGCACGTCCCTTGCTGCAACGGGTTACCATACTGTACAAGAGTACAACGCACCCATCCACGACGTGGTCAACGGATTTCTATTGAATTCATTGGAGCAGAAGGGGCTCATTGAGATTACAGATGCTGGGGTGGTGATGCGCACGTAGGCTGGTACCGCTGCTCAACCACATCAGTGTATATTTTGCACGCTCATAGTGCTTGACGTTGACTATCGCTTGTCAGCCACCTGGACAGCTGAGAGAACAGAAAGTGACCTCGGGAGGCGCCGGGAAAATCAGCCACGTGAGCTGATTTTCACCTCCCCCCCTTTGCTATCACCCCTCTCTTTCGCCCAGCCCTTTGCTATCCCCCCCCCTTTGCTATCCCCCCTTTGCTATCCCCCCCCCCCCCTTCGCCCAGCCCGACTGTTCCGAGGCCCCTCCGCGCAGCGCTCGTGCCCGCTGCGGGGAGCGGCCCCCTCCGGAGGGGCGGGCGCCCCACGGGCCTGCGGCTCGGGCGAGAGGGTCCGGCGATCGTCCTCCTCCGTCCGGAGTCGCCCTGTCTTGACAGGGGACCGCCCTCGATCCGTGGAGGAGGAGGAGGAGGAGGAGGAGGAGGAGGAGGAGGAGGAGGAGGAGGAGGAGGAGGAGGAGGAAGAGGAGGAGGAGGAGGAGGAGGAGGAGAGGAGGAGGGGGGAGGCGAGGGGAGGAAGATGATGAGGAGGGAGCGGATCATCAGGGGGGATGAGGAGTGGGAGAGGAGGAGGAGGAGGAGGAGGAGGAGGAGGAGGAGGAGGAGGAGGAGGAGGAGGTGGAGGAGGAGGAGGAGGAGGAGGAGGAGGAGGGCGAGGAGGAGAAGGAGGGGGACAACTTGATGGGCCTGTTTTCCACCACCATCATAAGTTGGAGGGGGGAAGGAGGTAAAGGGTGAGAAGGAGGAGGACGAAGAGGAGGATGACGAAGAGGAGGAGGGGGAGAAGGAGGAGGAGGAGGAGGAGGAGGAGGACACCCTCCCCCTCCTACTTCTGGTGGTGGCGACGGAAGACAAGCCCACCATACCTGACGTACAATGTCAAGCGTCTGATTATGCGCTTTGGCCATCCGTCCGTGTAGCCGTTGCACAAAATGCAGCGTCGCTCGTGCACTACTGAGGACAGCTCAAACGAGAGCCCCATTCTGAAACGGAGCCAGTCACAGCATAATGTTCAGGCCGCCGTGGCGAGAGCCGCATTGTGAAAGCCACCCGCCCTCCGTCTGCGTAACCACTGCAAGCCTTCAAGACGGATGTGCGCTGTTACGCTTGGAACCACATTTTGACAGCCGTTTTGAAGAAGGATTCGCTTTCTGTCACTGGAATTTTGGAGCATTTACGGAGGCTCCAGGATCACCAACAATGTGGAAGTATCCTGCGAAATGACTTGACACCGCTCGACCGACACGCTGGGAGGTGCGACGAGGGGAGAATGGACACAATCAGGGGGGATGGGAGGTGAGGACGGATGGGAAGACGGGCAGAGTGGTGGAGCAAGGGCGCCCTCGAGGGCGCGGAGTTATTCGCGCTTCGCGCTTCGCGGTTCGGCTCCGACTCCTCCTCATCCTCCTCTTCTCCCCTGGGAGGCGGCGCGAGAGCGCGAAGTTGTTCGCACTTCGCGCTTCGCGCAGCGCGAAGCGCGAAGTTGGGAGCCATTGTGGGAGTGGGGTGACAATGAGAACGACAAAGTGGAAAGGAGAGCGGTGGGAGAGGAGTGGTTCGAGAAGGGGGTAGGAGGGATTAGGCGAAACGGGCAGCGTTATCACGAGAGGTGGGAGGAGGAGCGGATGAAGACGGATGGAGATGAGATGGACGAGGGAAATGGGGGAGGAGGGGGAAGAAGGAGTTGTGGAGGAGGAAGGGGAGCGAGTTGTCTTGAGCGTGGCGGTGCATGCGCATGCAGCATCACGAGGAGGAGGCAGCCGTCAAGCCCAAGTTCGGACTTTGCCTGCCCATATCTCAGAGTTTAGCGAGTTTACCCTACAGTCGGACCTAGGACAGAAGACCATGCTTCGAGAACATGAGACCCTCCGTCGGCCATTCCAAGCAGAACAACCAGGGGTACCCTCCCCAGGATTCGCAAGAGCAGCACGAAGAACACTAGGGTACCCTCCCCAAACAGACCTCAACCTTATATCCCGGTCCGACCGTACTACCTTTCCAGAGCTCGCGCTAAATGGCAACCCGAAGCTGGAGTCAGCCGGAGCATCTCCCACCCACGGTCGCCATGGAAACCTCTTGAAGTCCCTTCGAGGCTTCTTGGGGCTCTCTTGGGGTGCTGCTAGCATGTGAGGCCCTCTTGGGGCTCTCTTTGTGCCCCCCTGAGGGTCCTCGAGGCCCTACCAGGGGGTGCCTGGAGATTTCTGGTCATGGAAGAAGGTGCGCGCAATCAATACGCATCCCCGTCGAGAGCTAGAAGCAGTCACCTCTTGGTGGCTTCTTGGGGGTTCCGGGCCCTGCTTTCGGCTCTAGTTGGCGTGGCGAAGTCAGCGGAGGTCAGCGCGGCTTCCCCCCAGCCTTAACGTGGACTTGTGTATCGGGGGCAGTCGGATCGGAAACGCGTGCGGATATTTGTGGGGAAGCATCCTTTACCTTTCGGGCAATCTTGGGGCATGCCGAGGCAATCCTTTAGTCATCTTTGCATAGGGCTTCCGAGTGAACTTTGGGAAGCTCGGGAGGCGCCCGATCCCGAAGACGACTCCAGGACGGTTGACAATATCTATTGGAAGTGTCTAAGACGACCCCAATGAGATTTCAAATATTCAGAGTCGGCTTGCCAAGGTTCAGAGGGTCCCGAGTCTGCCCGATAGGCAAAACACGGGTTCGTAAGAAATGCACGAGATGCGCCAACATAATCCAGGGATAGCGCGACGATGCACTCAGTCGGCAGTAAGCCTCAGCATGCAGCAGGACGCATCATCACACGACAAGCGCAAGCGACACGAGCCAACAAAGCGGAGAAGCAGCAGCCAATGGTAGACAGCTGGGGAGCTGTGCAGCCCGGGGCCGCGCACATCGGACCCTTTGTTGCTGTACAACCCGGTACGCCGAAAGCAGGTTGTCGTGAAGCTCAGGAGAGGCTCTGGTTTTCGAGCCGTTCCTTACAGTCGCACCGAGTTTTAGGAGCGAGGTCGGCTCGGGG